AAGTTTCAGTCTTTCTAGTGTTAAATAATAAAAGAAATGTGTATATTTGAAACACTGATTAGATTTTGTTGATGACAGTGAAGCTGTATCTCTGTAGTGCAGCGAACCTTTCTACGAGCTCTTACCGCTTAGCAAGAGAACGAAAAGTCGAATGCGAGCGGCCCGATATCGTTTCGACTTTTCCCGAGTGTTAAAATGTCTCAGCCAATCATATCACTATTGCCAAGAGACTAATCGTAATTTAGTTTCACTTTTTAGCATCAGAAATAATTAATTCAATAAACAAATGATCTATTGACTATCTTCAAACGAAATCAAAGAATAATCAACTATTATCGATTCGTGTGCTTCACAGTACGTGATACATGTGAACGGGTGTGTTACCTGTCGGAAACAGTGTGTACAGTTGATTCGCACGACCTCGTGCGAAGGAAGGGAAGAAGGAAAAAGATCGTCGCTCGGCTCGATTGCGTTTATCATTCGCGAGTCCCACGATAATGAGAAGGCCACACATACGCGTGTAAGTGCATGTAAGCTCGGTGGAAGGAAGCGTGCGAGCGAGCTGCGTCATCGGGGACACGAGTGAAGAAACGAGCGAATTTCAATCGGGACATAGTAGACATACACTCCCGTTCATAAGTCACGGTTTCACGAGAAAATCGTTGATTGGTTTGTCAGAAACCTGCCTATGATTCTGAATCAATCATTTGTATATTCACACTGATTGCCTCAGTGACTATCAGTAAAAGAATCGAACATTTGATTATCAAATGCAACTATCATATTCTATCCTAATTGCTGAAGGATTGTATGTATTTCTTTTTGCTTTAATTCGTTATACAATATCAGAGTTTCGAATAAAACGATTTTAATTTGTCTGATCAAGTGCAGAGTTCAAATGAATATCAATTGGTTTTAATAAAATCAATCAATAAAATGTTATTTTATCAGGAATTTAATTTTGGTTCAACGATAGTATTTTAACATCTGGTTAAAAAATAAGTTCGGTGACTTATGGACAAGAGTGTACGTACTGTGTATACTCCCTGGTGACATTTTCTCGTTCGAGTCCTTCGTGCGTGCTCGTGAACGCCACGATAAATAACAAACAGCCTCCGAAACCAGTCCCGCCGACCTACTTCCCAGCCATGCGAATCAACCTGCACGAATATTAATAATTAAGCAGCCCGTCGCTGAACGAGCGATCGAGCCTCCTTCTTCCGATTCCCTCGACGATTCGCGCTCTCGCCGCAAATCATGGGTGCAAAACGAACGGAGACAATTTAATTATGTAAATAAATCCATGAGTCAGATACATATTTTACACATCTGTGAATATTCTACGATCATACATTCCCAGAAAGTGTAATTTTTCAACGAATCCAACAACCGGATAACCGACAAGAGTTCTCAAGAGGAGAATAAATTCAAGTCGAAGACCAGGATTTTCATTTTAATAATCTCTGAGAAATATTAGTTGTCTGTAATCCCGCACTCTAAAAAAGTCTCTTTTTAGTAAATTGATACGTCAGACAAACGAGGGGAGTCCTTAAGCTGATCCTAAATGATGCGTAGACCCGAGCGAAATGTATGCACGAATACATTAGGATTGAGAACCGTGGAGGACCAAGAAGGAACGATTTATACGTTTATCGAGCTGGCAAGGCGTGCGGAGAGACGGAGGAGGACGAGCCGAAAGGATACGTAAATAAAAGACGACGGGATATGTGGGTCAGGGAATGAAAAGTAACGAGTCAACCGTGACTGGATGGACGTGAATGAATGAACGGGAGCGCGACGGCTCGCGAGGGAAAAACGTCCGGGCGGCAAGGTAAGAAACGGCGGACAAAAGGTGGAAGACAACGCGGGATCCGGGAACAACGGACGAGTACGAGAAAAAGGAACCGAGAGAGTCGAGCGTACACACGGGGCCAACCTCGGAAATAGGTCGGACCGGGCTGGGAAAATAAAAAAAGGAAGCACCGCCGCGTTAAGAGCCCCAGTTCTGCTCCCTGAAACCTCATTGCGAAACGCGAATTTCGTACCCCCTAAACCTTGCTTGTTAACGGGATGATCGTAGTTCCTCATTGAACTTCCTATATATTTCTAAAGCGAATTTTACGCATCGCCGAATCGTATAGATTGATAACGTCAATGTTTAATTAGATATTATTTATTTTTTATTATATTTATTATTATATTATTATTAGCTCTAAAGAATTACAGGCTGCGAAATGTTGATCGTTAGCAGCACGAGAAACTAGTCTACGAATTTCTACCTTGCGAAGAAGAATCTTGAAAAAACAAAAGCAGTGTAGAGCAGCGGATCTGGTCAAAGGCAAACGGAGATGATAGGCGAGGGTGGAAAAGAAAGGGAGACGCGGAGAAAGCGACAAGGAGAGCCGGTGAACAGGTAAGGTAAGAGAGAAAGAGATATATGGGTCAGAGGATGGACCGGACGGAATATTGATCCGGCCACGTTGCCTGTGTTGCGCTATGCTCTACCATGTTCTGCTTCCCCCTCTCGCCATCCCACGTTCTCTCTCTCTCTCTCTCTCTCTCTTTCTCTCTCTACCACCCCGTGGATACACACAGAGCACCGTTGAAGACCCTTACAGTTTACCTTAGCTCCGTGGTTTCTTGCAGTTTTAAACCGACCACCTGACCCAAGGAACATCGCAAAACCATGCGGGATACAGTTTGAGAAAAGAAACAGAGAAGATCGATGGCACTCCGAGAAATTAAGAATTAATTTTGATAAAAGATGTAGCAGACATTTGATACAAGGGACAGAAGTTGATCTATCTAATTTTAATTCCTCAAAGATAAATAGAATATAACGATGCAGCATTTATTAGAGGTACATGATTTATTATACGATTGTCTGAGTGACTGTACGCTTCCAATAGAAATAAAGTATGACGATCTCTAATTATTATCAGATCAAATTATTTGAAACATTTGTCAGATTTATTTATCGATGATAAATGCTTGAAACAGTCCTAAGACGATGTAACTGGATACATAATGCGACGTACACATTAAGACATTTGGCTATTTGCAGGAATCGAACAGATTGAACCGGCGACGAATAAGAACGAACTTCTAAATCTAAAGTTGCCTACGCTGACCTAATTTACGAGCTAGCAAAGTTAACCATCAATCTCGCTGGCGATTTCTCCCGAAACGAAAAGGCGTCCGGATTCGCAGTACCGACGGGCTCGTAAATCTCGCGGTACCGTCTCGTCGCGACGCGTTATTGTTGACGATGATGAACCGCGGCCGCTCGTAAACCCCAGCCGCGGCCGCGTACCGACGGACCGAAAATATCGCGGGACCATGGGCAGCTACCCATATGAAGTTGTCCGAGAGGTAACGGAAGCTACGTCGCCCCGTGTGTACCTCTGTTGACACGTAATTATCGCTGGCCGCCAGTTACACGTGTCTTTCCGCCGGCAAACCGAACGGGTTGTTTGAGTTCCCAGCGAGCAACACGCACCGCTAATGAAAATCGCCTGACAATGCGAATCGACCAGCTGATTTAAAAGACGGATGCCTTTTGTTAACCAAACACGATGATCAAATAAATTGCGTTCATGACTTACGTGCATTTAACTATATTGAACGATCATTAATTTGCTTATACAACGTGATGAAACCACAGGAAGTAAGAATACATTTATTTTATCTCATGATGCGTTCTTAGGATTATTTTTTCTTTAACTGCGTAGAATTCATGGTCGAAGCTAAGGCAAGAGTTTTAATGGTCGATCCTCACAGAGCGTGCGATGCGATGCGTTGCGCTGCGTTTCCGTATTTTTCGAGCCTACGGCCGGGTTTACCAGTGCCGTAGACTGTACCCTACAGCATATACTAAAAGCATGTAAACGTCGGAGACTTTGGAGGGCCCCCGTAATAGTTAGCCGAGAATCCGTAACTCGAGGACCCAAACTACGGGTCAGACCCCCCGCTGTTCACTTACACATAGACGAAAAGGTCGATTTTATGGCCTCTGCGATGAAATCCTCGGGATTTCTTGGCGAGAACATTTTCGGAAAAATCGCATGCGTTTCTTTTCGTCTATGTGTAAGTGAATCGCATCGACCTTTTCGTCTAAGTATAAGTGGACAGCGGGTGTGTGACCCCTACTTTTGGTCCTCGAGCTACCGATTCTCGGCTAGCTAACACTGGGGCCCTCCGAAGTGTCCGACTTTTACATGCTTTCAGTAA